TCTAATTCTAGTCTAAATTCAATCCCATTATTACTTCAGTCCTGTAGTGCCCATTAAGATTTAATTCTGTTTGTTGTTACCGTAAATGTCAGGCAATTCAACTGTCTAAATTAAGATCCGGGAACACCACCATTCAGGTTTTAAATTAATTCATCCGCCAAATCCATTTGCCCAAGCGTAACTCGATATTTATAGCCAGACAAAAGTAGGTTACAGACATGTAGTGAGTAGGGTATGGGATTGCCACACACTCCTATATAAAAACGGTCAAGGTTAAAAAATGAATAACCAACAAATGTGATTCAAGAAGAATGAAGCCAGGATGTCCTTTGTGGGCTTGACACTGTTACTGTACAAACTATGAGCATTAATGAACAATGCAAATAATAACAAAAGCTAATTACAAAATAAGTCCGTGTTAACTATCTTCACGTGTGAAACGAGTTAAAACAAGAACCGTTATTCCTAAGAACCAGATCAATTCATAGGTGATCATATAACGACCTATAATATCCTATCATCCAACGGCCATGTTCTGAAACACTATATTACTTCTCTCATTTTAGGGTGATATTCGGAATTCGGAGATGTAACCAAGTTTTACTGATTACGAGTGATAAGGCTTCTGAATTCAACGAAGACTTAAATGATTTATGAAAGTTCATTGTAGCCATTCGTATGTAAACTTAGTATACTCTTAGAGATATGGAATAGAATCGCACGGTAATTTGTTAGTATTTCTCCCAGTTCTGTTTGTTTCACTTCAGTCTTCAGTAATAAGGATAGGAGGTCTATCGACCTATATTATTCGTTGCAGTTTGTAATACTGTGGAGGTTCAATCTCGTTTTGAATATATCAACAGAAGGTGCTGATATTACGTGTTCCAGTAGAGAATTCCGGTAATTCACTACTTGGTGCGAGAAACGAAACTCCAGACGTAAACGACTTGATCTCGGTTTTTGAACTTTCTTCGAATGTCCTCTCAAATGATCAGTCCTAGACGGAAATAAAAGAGGACATGTTAATACCAAGGTCATCGTTCAGTATACAATGAGCCAATATTAGATCACCCCGTACTCTGCGGTAATGTAACGGAAATAAGTTAAGGTGTCACAGTCTGTCTTCATACGGTAGGCCAGATAGACCTTGCACCACCTCAGTACCACAACGTTGGACTCTTTCCAGTATATCTGATTCATACTTGAAACAAGAACTCGCTGCGTGAATCCCATATTCTAAATATGGTCGAACATAAATCGGGTATAATCATCTAAACATTTCATCATCTAAATACTGTAAAGACCTACGAATAGACCATGATACCCTATAGCCTTTCGCAGCAGTAGCCTTACGGTGACTAGTGGTTTTGAGATCACTGCTTAATATGACTCCTAAATCTTTATAGTTTCTTACTTTGGGTAGCACGAATCAACATTTTGTGTAGTGATACGATCCACCATAATTACTTATTTGCATCGCTACACTCTTATTAGGATTTACTTCTAGTGACCACCTGTCCAACAATGCCACCAATGAGCTAAGATCATTCTGTAATACTATCCTGTCCGACATACTATGTATAGGTCTCCAAATTCTCATGTCATCAGTGAAGAGTAGAATGGATAATTTTGCTATAATTGGTAATTCATTTACACAAAGTAAAAAGAGAAGAGGACCGAAGATTGTACCTCAGGGAACTCCACTTTTTACAGGTACCCACGAGGAGAAAGCCCCATTTACCCTTATCCTTTGTCTCCTGTCATGCAGAAAGTTACTTATACAGTCTGGGACTGTATAATGGATTCCCAAACGTTCCAGTTTGAATTTAAGACCAGAGTGTGAGACTTTATCAAAGGCCTTACTTAGATCTATGAAGATCACATCCACAGGAATATTCTGATCTTCTGCAGCAGCCCAATCTTTTCTTGCAATGAGAAGATTTGTCAAGCATGATAGGCCTCTCCGAAAACCATGTTGTTCTCTGGAGGGAAGATTATGCCCTTCTAAATAGTTTATAGCAGATATCCGAATGATTTTTTCCATCAGTTTTACAGCTGCACTAGTTAAGCTAACGAGCCTATAGTTACTAACTAAATCCCTACTCCCAGCCTTATACACCGGACTTATTATAGCGTCTTTCCAGTCTCTGGGCAGTCTGGACTGCCTTAGCGACATGTCAACCAGTGTCGCTAATGGTTCAGCAATTACATCTGACATGGGTTTCATAATCCTTAGGATGAATATAATCAGGAACACTGGACTTATCAGGTTTGAGATGCTGAAGTAGCCTTAAAACAGTACCTTTCTCTACGACTACAGTGTCTATCAGCGAGCCACCGCGATCACAGTGAATCGTTGATCGTTCCTCATTACCGATAGAAAAAACTTTACTGAAATATTTCGATTAAGCTTCAGCTTTTTCGGTATCACTTTCTGCCAAGAATAACGGATTTTCTTGTATCAAAAGTGATGGACTTCCATCGCTTCTCTGAGTTCGCCTTTTTAAATATGAGAATAACCGTTTCGGACTGTATCTAGAATCCCTAACTAATTGTTTTTCATATGATCGTCTAGTCTTACTTATTAACGCTTTACAGGCATTCCTGATCTTACAATAACTGGATCTGTATTGTTCTAAGCCAGTAGAGCTAATCATATTCCGATGCTTCTTCCTTCTAAGAATTTTTCTGACTGGTTTAGTTATCCATGGTGGACCGTTATTTGGTCTTCGCGGTACCAGGTATGGTATGAACGAGGACGTAACTAAACTAAACTTACCTCTAAATACAGACCATGCATCTTCAAGTGATAAGCTAGTATCTACAAACCAATCTGTCTTAGCAGCGCATTCCTGAATGGCTGATATGTTAGCTTTCCATACATTTGGGCGGGGTGTAACCTGATCGTATAACATGTCCCTAGTTCTAAACATGAATGACAAAACAGCGTAATCGCTGTTAACTAATAGCGGAAGAATATTTAGGTCGACAATATCCTCAGTCTCATGAGTGATTACCAAGTCCAACAGAGAACCTTGGTTAGCACCAAAACGTGTGTTTGGATGCATACCGCACTGATGCTCGCTCCATTATTGTTATTAGGAACCTACTATCAGAGAAATTTATAGATCCTTCCGTGGTCATCTCAGTCCAACTAACATCAGGTGCAATAAAGTCTCCTATTACCAAGCATCTGGTATTTACACTACAAAGATAAATGTACTCTAAAATAGCCATCAGCTAAGCAGATTGGGCTGCGATAGATGACACCGAGCATAAATGTACTAAATCCGATAGTCAACTTACAGCTAATGACTTCACAAGTACCGGTGTCATGGGATTCGCTAGCAGAGGAGCGGATATTTATATTATTGGCTATATATAACAGGACGCCACCTCCTTTTCTACATCCATGTTTATCACTCCTTAAGTGATGGTATCCGGATAATTCTGGAGTAATGTCTAAGTCCAAGACTAACCAAGTTTCTGTCGCTGCTACAATGAGTGGCCTTAATCTGTCCACTAATGCTCCCAGTTGATAAAACTTGTTTCTTATACTACGAGCGTTGGGATATAAAACTCCTAGGTAGAACGGCCTATCCACACAGGCCTTGGTAGCATTCGCTTCCATGACCTAACTATCCGAAAACCCACTGACCGGAAATTTTCCTCACCGCTTTGTTGACTGGTTTTTGGTACAGCTAGTGCTTTCTTCCTTTTCATTCTATCTTCGAGTGACATATCAGGTTTAATTCGGATGTCGGAATTGTCGTGTCAACGAGCACTACTTAACAGGAGATCCCGTTGCTTCTCCGATCTTGGGATTACCTTAAGGAGTCTACATGGTCGGGGTTCAACATTGTCTATTCTAACCAGTTTTTTGACCTGAACTCCTTTAGAGTTATCTGGTAAGATACACGAATATATTCTCCCAGCTTTTCTAAATCATGTGTGTGTCTAATTTTGGGATCAGGGTCGTTTGACTCGAGCAATTTGCTCACAATAATATTCGATGATATTAGATTCTTCTTCTCAGTCACGCTAGGGTGGGTTTCTCTCTTACTATCAGATTTTTGTAGTGCATTTTGTGACTTACGATAGGTGACCACCGATGACTTGCTAACCAGCTGAGTACTGCCTACAGCTTTTTTCTTTCCGTTTCCTCCGTACTGTAGTCCATTTTTCATCCTTCAGGACACCGGGACTATTTAGAACAGTGACGGTTTTATCCAGATCTTCAGTTTTCACTAGAGGTGCATGGTTACCAATGTAAATGTCAGGTGGTACTTCTCCCCACGTTAACGTTAACGGAGATTTCACTTTTCCGTCAATCAAAGTCGAGTGTTTGAGGTGTCTCGTAACAGCAGGTACTACACTGAGACATTCGTCACTGTCAGTGCTCGTGTTACCAGCGCATGCGCCATCGTTATAGGCCAAAGCAAATAGGCTCATAGCATACTGTATTAGTAACGTCTTATTTGTACAGCAGAACATTCAAAGCCATTGTGAGTTAGGCTTCAAACATCTTTTGTGTGGGGTGGGACTTAAACGGTTACACATCTTATGGAACCACTTTTTGCATTCATCACACTGTATTCCTTCCTCCACAGGGAACAAACAGTTTGGTTGTCCACATTTATGAGTACTACCAATCATTTTAGTCAGATTAAGGTGTAAAGCACAATATGATCACAATATTAACACAAGTGTCAGTCAATGAATAGAGGGTTACCACAAGACGAACTTTAGCAAGATTTCAAACCTTAACTAAAGTACTTTAATGCTTTTGATGCAACAATTACACAAAAGCAAGGATAGTCACAACAAGTACAAAATCCCTGCCTGAAGAAGTGGGTAAACCACTGACACTGGAATGGGAAACAGTGTTATATTCCATCAACAACAATTTGAATAAATTAGAGATTGGATATTTGATGCATAATTTTGATTTTGTTTCGAAGGTCACTCGGACGTCCTCTAACATTATTTGATCTGGGGTCATGTCTGTCGCATTATCTGAGTTATATGCTCTAGACAGTCTAGCAGTTGGAGACATCCCTACCATCAAGATAAATTGTGGTAATTAAATTTCACATTAAAGCTAAGAATCAGACACATTTTTGAGAACGCTACAAGATGTTAGTTTTCCTGACAAAGCTGGTGGGTTCACCTTTTCTGACTCAGCAGTTGCTTCGAAGAGTCGTTTTATTTTATGGTAAGATGAAAATTAATCCACATACTTTTAGGCGTTCACATGAAGACATGCTAGAGTTGCAAGAACTGTCTCTACATCATGACCTCCCAAATAATGTTATGAAAATCTCTTTCGGAGGTTCCGCTATAGTTGATTGCCAGATAGCTGAAACTCCTGAAAACATTGCGTGCCTTGTGTGCACTTCTCACGGGGCCTCACAGCTGATGTTCCCTCATCCACGCGTGGTAATCAAATAATAATAAACTTCAATATACATCTAGATTGCAACTTCTGTTCAACAGTCCATTATCGGTTGCAAAAGAAACGTCCATCATACTTTCCATCAAATAAAAGGGCTTCAGCCGATGAACATCCGTTGTGGAACAGCCTTTATTCAGAGTCATTCTGGTGTCTTGGTCTTTGCCTATGGATTGTCTACGGGTTCCATACTCGTTGCAAGGGTGAATCCACATAATTCTTCCGGTAAAGAGTTGTAAATAATGACATTACCTTATTTAACCCTTCATATTTTCTAAAGCAAACTGTTCCTAGCACAGATTGAGTTGTTGCAATTAGAGTTTAGGTGGTTCATTTTACGTTTTTTGTACCTACTTTTTTAGGACATTTAAAGGCTTCAAAATCTTAGTCTTCATAATAACCTAGCTGATTCCCCACAAACTTCTTTAGTTGTGATATCAATAATCGGATGGTATTAGGCATAAATTCAAACACTTATTGGGTTAATAACTTTTATCATAATGCCTATTGCGTATAATTTTGACCTAAGTTGTTTCGAATATTTCCTATGAACAATCAATTTAAAAAATTATTGATTATATACTTATGGTGTTATAATAGAAACTACATACACAATCCAGCAAAACGTAATACCACCATCCATAAAACATTTTGTGTGCGAATTACCAGAGGTGTGCCTCAGTGGTTAGAGTACTAGTTATATCACCGGCCCTCATACTTATTTGGATTTGGTGAATTAGTTAGAAGAAATATGTAGATATATTGGTTTATTTATTTAAGTTCTATTGACCACTTTAGTAGTGAAGTAATTAAAATTTCTCATACTTTTCGTTTTACCCACAGAAGTCACTGAAGTTTTTGAGCTATGTCAAACTTCAATGATTCAGAAGATATGGTGCGGTATTACGCCGTTTTCTAGGTAATTCTCATGTTCTAATATATTTTTAATTTCAGCAAAAACGACAACGATTCTTCTTCCTCACCACTAGACATAAGATTTTTGAGTCTTGGATCCGATGAGTACTTCCTAGCCACTGTTTGCAAAGATCACCGTTTGAGGATATGGGACCTCAAGGCAAGTATTATTCTTTTCCGCTTTGTCATCAAGCTGTTCCCGTTTTTTAATGTTTGTGGTGTATCTTATCAATCGTTACTGATGCTTTTACTCAACTATTTATAACAAGATTAATGCCCCTGATATTTCCATATTTATTTATGATTATTTATTATTTATTTGAACACACAAATATTGGTACAAGGGGCAACAAATACATATGCTCCACACAAGACAATGAGAATGAGGGAAAAAAGGTAAGGAACGTAAAAGAAAAAAAGAGGAACAATAACGACCAGATTAGTGTAAGGTAGTGTAATAATAATATTAATGGGGGAAACGGACAGGTACAACTAGAGAGAATTCTTTCAGGTAAGGAAGATACAACCACTTTTTATGAAAAAAGTAAAGGAAGGTTACAGCAGGATCGCCACTGGCTTCTATTCTGAGCCATATCTGATAACTTCTCTAGTCACTGTGTTGCACCATCTCTCGGACCCCAGTCAGGGAGTCGTGAAGGACCAACACAAGCCAGCCCTTTGCAGCTTTCTTTCATACCCCGACACCATGTCATAAACTGATCACCTCTCCGCTTTTTCCAACCAGTCCAGGCGTCGGCAAATAATGCGCGGTGAGGAATTCTCTGGGACGACATTCGCAGAAAATATCCAAGCCACCGAAGTAGACGTTTCAAGATAGTGACACTAATTGACTTATCGTCTCTGTGCCCGAACACACGATGCCGGCCTTTTACAGCCAGACTAACATCACGAAGGTGCCAAAAATGGCCCAGATTGGCATAAGACGCTCTGGCTCTCATTATACGTGAATCGATCTCATCACTCACGCCACCACCAGCGCTTATTTAGCTACCTAGGTACACGACTACTTCTATCTACTCACCATCCAGGGTAAGCATTATCGCACAGTAAGACGACATCATCCGCATACTCTAGGTCGAGAAGTATTTCTCCAGGCAACAGATCCACACCGCTATTACTTACACCCATCAGAGCTGTTTCCAGAATGTCATCGATGGCAAAGTTGAAGAGGAATGGTGAGATTGGGCAACCCTGTCTAACCCCACTGCTTGAATGGAACAATGGATAAAGGTGGTTGTATACCTTCATTCTGCCTGAAGTGTTTGTATGTAGGGTCTTTAGGATGTTAATAAACTTCTCAGGCACACCCTTCTTCAATAGACAATCCCAGAGAACAGTTTTGTCCAACGAATCGAAGGCAACCCTGATGTTAAGGAACGCTACGATTAATGGTCTGTGATAAGTATGATAGTGTTCTAACATTTGGCGGAGAGTGAAGATATGATCAATACATCCTCGACCAGAATGAAAATCAGCCTGCTCCTCGCGAGTCAATCTTTCTTGGGTTTTGAACAACCCACTGCCCAGCTGTCGAAACTAAATTCGATGAGGTTGGATTCAAGATGTCGCGTCATTGATTCAAAATAAGGTCATTCAATTAATAATGTTTCCCTGAATTTTATCTACAATTCGGCCGGCGTTTAAATAGCGAGTATTCACTTCGCTACAAACTGTAGATCTTATTTTATAAGCTCAGATACTCATGTCTTTCATGCAGATTTTACTGTTTTCTCAATTTATGCATTTTTTTATACTAATTTAGCATCGCAGCTGTTTTGTTGCATTAGATCTTCTGGAGGTTTTACCCAAGACGTTTGGTCTTGATTCTACTTATGATCCATCTGCATCACACTCGATGTTTGCACCTGGTTTGTGTCACCGTCTATCTTCCTATCCCGCATCTGATCGTGGTATCACATTAGTTGTATACATGTCTATGTGTTTGTCTTCATCCAACAGCATTAGTTTCGATACTACCCCTTCTGAGGAAGTAAATTCAAGCTACTGGTGTTGGATGCATCTGGATATCAACAAAGCTCTAAGTCGTAATCGAGAAAGTTTAAGTGTACTAAGAGTAGAACCACTATTTCAACCTTCGTGGGGAAATAACGCAGAGTTATGGCCACACAAGAGTGGTCTGAACATGTTGCCTAAAATAAAAAGACCAGATGTTAGTGTTTTGGATTTTATTCCCTCACAAGTAATCCAGAGACCAGGCTGTTTAGATGATTCGTCTGAAAGCAGAAAAAAGCATAAAAAAGCTCTCGGTAAATACCAATCTTTTTTTAAAAAAATATCTTACTTTATGTAGTTAAAATTTTATGTTTTTACTTGTCTACGTGTCACTCCTGGTCATATCAAAGAGCTCTATAAAACATCCAAATACTTAATAATTTTGTTTCCATACACCTAGAAGTAAGAAATGTTTCGTGAGGCCCAGGAATTTCAGGATGATTATTATCATACTAAAGTTTAATTTTAAGGGCGAATTAAGGCATAAAATATATTCCCTACTGACCAACATTACTTGCATCAAAATATCACGAGAGCTAGAACAGTACCATGCTACGTTTTCTGAAGTAGCAGGTGGTATTTTGAAGTATCTACCTCTGTTATAATTTATCTTATTACAACGCAGCTACTTTTATTGATTAGTATTGGACACCACTTCATTCGACTAGTCCTCAAGCCAAAACACAGTCGAACAAGAATGAAATTAAATTCCAAATAACTTGAGTAGATGAAAGTCGGAATCACAACAAGAAAAGCGTTAGCATGTTTGTAATACTTACATAAGAAGATTCTAGTGTCTTCTCCAAGTATCCACTGGCGCTGATTGAATAAGAAATAGTCAGTCAGTGTGCCCCAACACAATCCTGTATGGAACATTCCTTAATCCAATCTATATCCCGCTAATAACTTTCGAACCATTGAGTTGTAAGTCTCACCAAATGGTCAGTAGGGCAACTTCAGGCAATACATTTTTCGGTATATTGTTCTCGTGGCGGGGGTGTTGTTTCCGAAAATGAGAGGACGGAAAGCGAATGGCCGGCGCTTTAACCGGATCCAAAAACAATGGTGCACATGGGCTCCAGTATCCTGCAGGAACAAATGGTTTATGAACCAATTGTTGGTCACCGGCTTCCATGGGGCTGTATCTCCTTACGATGCTCCACTGCCTTGTGGATCAGACCTTTAGGTCGAAGGCTCGGGGTGTGGCTCCTTATGAAAACCACCTACTTCGGTTAGGGCACCCGGGCAGTCTCACAGCCCTCACACATATCGAATTAGATTTGTGTGGCTCATATCTATTTGGTGCCTCCTTGTACCAATATCTATGTGTTAAAATAAATAAATAAAAATAAAAAATATTGTGCCCAAAGAAGCTTCACAGATCATTCGTTCATGTAGAATTTTATAGACCATGTGTTTCAATAGGTTTAGATCAGACTTTTGATTTCCCTGGGTGAACTTTCTTTGCTCATCAATCTGATTTAAACATCGGGCATTCGTTTTCATTCTCGCTTTAGTTAAATCATTCCTGTCATTTGATGTGTCGTATAGAATTTCCTTGTAAACAAATACACGTTTGTAACCGTGTGTGAATGGACTATCCTTACATTGACTACACCGGGTTGTTCGGGAGCCATTCCTACAATCGCTTCTTCTGACTTTTCCCTTTTAATACGAATCATGGGCTATACATATTATTATTACTGCTAGTTTATAAATGTCAAATTTGCATGCGATTCAATATTCACAGGTTTAATATAACTACATAAACTTCTTTTAGGCGGGATATGGTGGATAGCACACCAAACAAACGCTGAAGACACTGAGATGGACAGTAATTACTTTGTCAGGTGGACAGAAATTCAAAACCCAGATTGTGATACTAAAAAACGTAGGGGAACTATTTCAGCTTTCCCTCCTGGTGTAAATCTTCTTGAACCTGTGCCTAGCTGGTATAAACATCCTACTTATTTAACACAATCCTCAGATGATAGCCCAACAGACAATCTATGGGATGAATCTAGTGTTGATGTTCAGTTACATATATTTTTGGATCAACTTTTTCACCCTGGTTGTCTGTCCTGGTTTGCGATTGCAAATGCATTCAAAGTAAGTTTTTTTTTCATTTTTCTCATGGATACTTGTTTATCCCCCATCTTAAAGTTTACCTTGGTTAAACTACATTACATAATGACGTTTAACATCAAGTAAATTTTATCGTGGTTTTACTCAACCAAGGAGATATACCATTTTCCTCGGTTTATTCATTTCGAAAAACAATTGAGTTGGTAGCTTACCTATTAAGAAACCCATCAAAAAATCGGGTTAGAACCCTGCGTCACTTATTTTAGTTTGGGTAGTATAGTTAATTCACTAGCCTACACAAATCGCGTGATTCAGCGCCAAGTAAATAAATCTGCACTTAGTTACTGAATTGCACTACTAGCTCATAAACTTGGTCGCAGTTCGTGATGTTCTTTGTGTAAATTTATGTGTCTACTTTTCTGACCACTCGTCTATAACACTAGTTAGGTGTCAACATACTTATTTACGGTTGTGTCTACGTGTTCGTTTAAATGATTTCTCTACAAATCACTATTATTAAGTATCTTCGGAGGACTGATTGGATTCTATAGATTAGGCGGTATGTAAGTTGAATGTCGACCTCTGTTCCCAGGAGAGAATGATATACGTAATTTTCGATCGCTATTTTTGCTATTAGTTGTGTGGACCTTTTGATGTTGTTTCACAGGATCATATTGAGTGATGGAGTGGACTCTGTTGTAATCTATTCACATTAAAAAATCCCTCAGTAAAAATTTACAATAATCTCTTACGACTTACAAAATTATGAAGAGAATCTAATTTTCACCAAGGTTTGTATTTTGTTTTATATCTTATCTGACTAATAGTTAGCTTGGTTCTTCCTTTGTACTAACTGAACCTTTAAAGCATCATTATTTTTTTGACTACGTTTCTTGGTTAAATTCATGTTTTTAGTCACTTTGTGAAAGTTATTCACTCTTGGATTGTGATTCAGTGTTCACCGTCAGTAATCTTCATGAAATGCGTGTTTTTATACATCGAACTTTGTTGGATAAGGTTAGTTTCTCGTTGTTGGTTTTTAATTACCTTTCATATACATAAATATGCGTGTTAAACCAAATGGTAAAGTCATAGTACATAGTCATTAACAATTTTCACGATGAAAGTTTATGGATTCTCATGGTATTCTGACCATCTTATGTTGACACTTTCTGAAAAAATGAACTAAACAAACATGTCACTGTTTATTACTCAGAGATCAGTTAATTGCAAATATCCTAATTTTACAGGAGCTCAGTGGTAACGTCTTAAATCTGAATGACACGGGGTCGAATTCAATAGGGAGCTCCAGTTCCCTCAAAATTACAAGTAGACCTTGCCAACTGCTGTAAATAACGTTCTCGCCATCTGAATTTTCGGGAATCGATCTCCTACCAAGAGGTCCACTTATCGACTTAGGATAAGCAAATGACAGCCCTGTTTGGTAACGACACTGATAAAATAGTCTTATGGTAGCACTGAGCAACAATACCAGGAAGTTTGGGATACGTTTCTCCCACCCTCCTAAATGCAAGTTGTTGCTTCAGGACTGGCCTGCGTCAACACTTGAACTAAGGATAGGGAGTCAAGTAGTCGAACGCGTTGACAACTTCACTTATCTTGGAAGTCTGATCAGTCCTAATAAGTTGGTGTCTGACGAAATCTCAGCACGAAGTCGAAAGCTCGTTTGGCTTTCGTCAACTTACGTCACCTACGGCAAAGGCGAGATATCCGTCTGTCAATAAAAGGACGAATTTACTGCGCAGTAGTTTGTTCTGTTTTAATTTATGGCTGCGAAACGTGGCCATTAAGAGTAGAAGATACTCGTAAGTTGCTAGTATTCGATCACAGATGTTTTAGAAATATTACTGGCATCAGCTGGGATCAACGGGTAAGTAGTAGTGAGGTCAGACGCCAGGGTATCAGGGATGAGGTTTTGAATCTTCACCGAGTGAGATGGTTGGGCCACGTGTTGCGTATGCCTGAACACCGATTACCACGGCGCGCAATGCTGAATAGTGTTGGGGATGTTTGGACGAAAGTTAGGGGTGGCCAAACCAAGATGTAGTGTCAGTCCTTGAAGTCACTAACTTCTAGTCTGAGCCATGTTGGTAGATGCAGACTACTTGGTTGGGGTCCGCGTGACTATCATAACCAATGTTTAGAGACTGTGTGAAATGACTCAGAAGAGATCACAATGGCGTGGGCAGATACACTCTGTCTTCCCTTAAGCTGTGAGACTACTTTATACCTTTCCATAAACTGATTCTCCTTATATTATATCTTTATATGCAATCTCTCTTTTACGTATTACTACCATTGAAGTAGATACTTCAATGAATTTGGCGTTCATCTTGTTGTGCTAATGAGGTGTAACAACTTGAACCGATGCATATATGTACCTGGTCTTACATTGTAGATGACTGACGGACTTATAGTTGTAGCTCACTCAATTGCTTTCATTATGACTAATTATTTCTCCTTCTGGCAGCTAATTCCAAATCTCGATCATGCTGGTTTCAAAACAATGTTAAAGACATTTTATGCTACGGCTATTGATTATCATGAACATGGTTTGCAACCTTTAGGATTATTACGTTTAGGTACTGCGGATACTACTACTACTAATGGTAGTAGTACATCAGAAAAGATGTTTCCCAATGAAGATGATACTGTTATAGTTATTCGTCGATGGGGATTTTCTGTTCTACGTCATTTACAAGATGTCGAAATTCTATTATGGAATAATGCACCTCCTTTAATTAATCGAATGCAATCACGTAAGTACTCTTCGAGTTTTTTTTTCTAGTTTGGTGTTATATGTATTGTTGCGAGTAACTCTACTAAAATGTTGATGGACATTTTCAGCTTATTTCTGGAGATATTTTTTTGCACCATGTAATAAACCGCACCTGATGCATGAGGTCTAATAGTATTACTAAGTAGTCCAAAGTGGAATATATAAATTGGGTTGGAAGTTTCCAAGTTCATATCATTGAATCATATCTCTGTCTGCATGTATTTACTATTCACTATGTTGTGATGATGAATACTACCGTATATTTAGGTTAATAGTTCTCAATTTAATTATCTTTAATGGAGGCATCAAGTTGGTTAATTATGAGTTTAATCGTTGTTTTTCTAAAGAGAATTGATCAGTCAATTAATCAGCTTATAAACCCTCATCAATTGAATTGGTTTGCATCCGTGTCACACATGCTCAGCCACCTGTTTGAATATGAAAGTTAAGTAGCATGGATGTAAGCTGAAATAAATAAACAGTTGGTCAGATAATGACATGACATCTTTCCATGAAGTAGTTCACCGTTTTTTACGTCTTTCTGGGAGATCCAAGCTTCCTTGTCTTTGGCGTTGATAAGATAATTTGTTACCTATGGTTGGAAACCGTCAATGATTTGAGTCAAACTCGATCTCAGTGATTGACCTATTCATTGATTACTCTTCTTAAAATCTTAAGCTTTATATTCTTTGGTTTCCATTCTTCATCCTTCTCAACAATCCTCTTACCTTATATTCTTCTTCCTATTATTATTATTATTATTATTATTATTATTATTATTATTTTATTATTATTATTATTATTAGTGATATTTTCACACTTCCTCTCTTTTCGTTATATGTTTTCGAATTCATTGGCGTAAAGTACAACACCTCATGACCAGCACTTATATATTTTTACGTTATATCTGGATTAGTTTACCCTTAAGAAGTATCCGAAGTAGTTAATCATACATAGTACGCATTGAAGTAAGATTGTCATTGATTGTTACCACATTACGTCAACACAGAGAGATGAACTTATCAAAATGAAAGGCGAAGGAGTTGAAATAATGGTAGCATCAATTATATTACTGGAAAAGAGAATAGAAAATGAATAATGTATGTAAAATATTCAGAGGAAGATAAAATATGAATGTATCTACGCCACTGTGACCGATTCTCAGCCATGCATGCCATCTGTAATCTCCAACTATTGTTCACGATTATCTCCCAACCAAGTAGTATATACTTATCGATACATCCCAGATCAACAGTCAAAGACTTCATGGGCTGATTCCACGTTTAGCTTTCTGCCGACCTACTTCTATCACTCACCATTAGACGTTAAAGTAGGCAGTACTTGGACATACGTAAGACATGTCTCAGTCACCTTAGTTGATAAAGATTTTCAGCCTCGTCAACCAAATTACTAATTTTGACAACAGTTATGTAGTTTTATATATTCACAAGTTTTCCAGATTAGAATAATCTGAGGTTTGAATGAGACTACTTCATATATATATATATATATATATATATATATATATATATATATTCTAGGGATTCTATCTCTATTTTCCTTTAGCTCATCTTGATACAAAAGTAAACACACAAAACATCGTTGATCTAACTACGGACTGTAGAAAGATCCTGCATATTCTCCAAGCTCAACCTCAATGGCCTCATTGGAAAGCTAATCTTTTTGATCGTACGAAATCCAATTTAAACGTCAGCCCATTAGTATTAGTTGAACAAATAATGTAAGTGTCTCTCAGTAAGCTTTTTCGTTTTCTTCTTAATCCTCCTTTATGGGCAAATAGGATATCCAATGTGGTTTTTAATGCTGTTTTTTTCGTGTTTGGCGGTTAAATCTACCCGTTCAACAGTACGATAAATTACTTGATGTCATGCTTGAAAAAAACGCTACAAGGTAGAGTTCCCTCACCAACTTAAAAATACAGCCATTGGCCAGTTATTATCGAATTGTTCATGTTCAACTCTCTATTCTTACTACCATGTGAAAGTTAGTGAATCTGAACACGTTACCATGCACAGGCCGTGAATCATCTACATATAAGGAATTTCATTTCAGTATCAAACTGAAATCCTAAACGTCATATATGGCACTTTACGTGTTTAGTTTCAACTAACCACTCATTCACCAATTACTTGGTTATGTGCAACACTCTGATGGCTTTTGATATTACTCAACTGCCCAAAGCGAAGTAAATGAAGATGGTTTCAAACCTGGAACAAAGTGGATGAAAGCCAAACGTCTTAACCAGTAAGATACTGCCTATTTGGCATGTTTTTCAATGTTCTAGCTACACTATTTGTGTCCCACTTGATTTCATATTTAAGAGCTCTTTTAAGCTTTATACCTAATGACATTCTGAAAAACTATATATATATATATATATATATATATATATATATATATATATATATCATTATTCTAGATCAAACAAACTTTGAACTTTTTGGACGTTCAGCTAAGTAAAATAAAATTGATGGAGATATATGTTAGTTTTCAAACCCAGTCTTCACGAGACTGAAAACCTTTTAGAAATTAAGAATTATTTCCTTTTTGTTGTCCCTTCCTGTATGTGTTATTATGTCATATTCCCTGTCGTCCGTAGGGTAGATATTTATATCTTACTTGATGAGAGCTTATCCTAGTCCCTGTATAAGTTAGAACTGTTCAGCTGCAATCGGACGACATTAAACCATGGTCTTATGATCATTAAAAATCAATTAACTAACTGAAACTAAGAATAATTCTTAAAGTTAGTCACATTGTCTCGAACTTTCACATCTGTAGTCATTTAAGGTGAAGAGAAAATACTGTAAGGAACAACACGTGTCCAGGTTAAATTGTTACTTTTGAAAATACCATCACTTAAAATCTATACCATTGAACCACTTGAGTTCATCATATGATACTTTTTTCCCTAGTGAAGAACTCGATCAAATCAATGAATGTTGGCTACCTCCGCCTATTATTTCATCTGTAAAATTTAAAAGCCCATTTTGTACTGGCTCTCTGTCCAATTCACATCTCACTGCTGTCATGTATTTATTATCGCTTTTGGATAATTGTGATATTATGAATAAAAGTGTTCAGCCTTTACAAAGCTTATTCGATATGGATACTAATTCAACGTATGAAGATATGGAAATAACTAATCAATCGTGGTATAATAATAGTAGATCTATGGGAGAGAGAAGTAAGTCAGTTCTTGGTGAGAAATTCTGTTCTTGTTGTTTTCTGGATTTGACTAAAACCTCTGACTGTAACATTAAGTGGTAACTTAAGCTTCATCTTCATAGGGAGCATTATCTTCAAGACTCCATATACACCTTTCTAATTAAAGTCAATTAGAATAAAATCTAACTGTTAAACCCACCGAAATAGTTCACTAGAGGTCATTTGAAGTCATTTGACCGAATTTCTCAAGATGATTCTACAATAAAACTGATAATTAACTTCTGTTAAAACGAACTCAAATGCAGAGTGAAAAACTCACCAGCGACAGTCAACATGCAACATAAACAAGCAGAAAGAGACCAATTCAATATTATAGCTAGATCGGAACATTGTGTATTAAACGATAGTAGGACAATTAGTTTCAGATAAACTAATGAAATACAGAAAGAAAGTAGTGGAGTTATGATGCGTATGTCACCCACAATATTTTTTCCCCGGTCGCCTTCAATCACTTTACATAGTCCCTATTTATCAAAATGAGATATGTCTTTCCAACATGATTCCTGATGTTAATGAAATCCTTTGTTTACTTGAACATACATTTGATAACTCACCGCTGTATAAGTTTTCATTCAGTTTTGATTAGTTGATTAGTACCACTTATTATTTTGTGTATACGTTAGACCGATTTCATAACCTACTTGATTCAAGTATCCTGAAATATGGGGGATAGGGTACACATTATTTGAGCGCCTCAATCGAATTCAGTAAAAGCTAGTTTTTTAGCATGCTTCTCAATCTTTCAAAAGACCGTTCTTATACTGGTGACCACCTATCTGGTCAACTGAAAGGATAAGTATTATTTTGTTTCGGTTACTGTATCTAAAGAAATATTGAGGAGAACTTTATTCATAATAATATTGTTAGTGTAAGTGGTTTTTGAATTTTTTGAATTTCATAGTTTACATCTTAAACTGACCATAGTTAAACAATCATTAAAGACCAGAAAGTCCACTGTACAGTCATTTCTTCTTAGTATGGGACAACTCAGCAGAGCTCATCCATGACCTCAGAGGTGGTCGAGCACACTATCTTCGGGTATAACAGCTGAAGCCCGACTTTTAGGTTTCTCAGTTGGTATATAATAGCATACAAGTTTAACTTCGATCGTTTCGCAATACTGTGCAACCAACCAGTTGTGAAGTTCAACCATGCCGGTTTTGAGGCTTTTGCTCACTAGTGACGTTATAGTGTGACTAGAGTGTGTTGCAAAGTGACTTCGTTTTGGCTTGCAAAAAGCTTGGTACAGACTCAGTGACTTAAGTACTAGCCGTAAGACCCTATAGTTCTGAGCTCGATCTTTGGTGATTTGTGAATAAGCACTGTTGAGGTGCTTCATACTTAATAGGCAGATAAAACGGTTCAGTGCTTCTTGGCTTTCAATAGTTAGTCTAATTAATATCAGTTCGTAATGTAAACTATACAATAATAATATCTTTCTCAAATTTTAATTCTGTCTAATGTGTACTTTCAATTATTATTTCAACAACAAAACAAAACAAAGCAGGTTCTTTCATCCCAACAAATGGTCAAACAATTGATAAAGAAACTATGAAATTTACTAAAAATCTTTCTAATTCATGTGTACAGTTTGTACGTTTATCACTTGCTCAATCTACTGAAACTCGTATTTTATTTTCATTCGCTTTATTAATTTTAATACGACGTAATGAGCTTGCTTCAAATGGTTTAATAATGTTACGTAATAATAATAATGCCGATGAGGATGATGTTGAAGATGATGATTGTTCAACTAATAAACAACCGAAAGGTATAGATATCAACTGGCATAGTAATGCAAAAAATCGACTTGTCTCATTGATTCAAAGTCTTGGATTTTTACATAATTTGACAGTTGTTCGTGTACGGCCTACTCCTGATATGGATAAATTGTAAGTTGTATTTATTTAACGGTTAAAATGAAATTCTATTCTTTAATGATTAAATGTTTTTTGAATAATAACCATCCTTTAAATATATAGTGTTTTTTGTTTTGATACAACAAGGTAATTGGCTGATTTGTAAATGTAAAATAAACTTCTTCGTTAATGAATTAACTCACTATTTTTTTTGCCATAAGTCCAACGCTAACTCGTTTAACATCAAGGTTAAAGTTTCGTGTGATGATGTGATTTACTTCATAAACTTTATACTACAAAATAAATATGTGAGGAAATTACTGATATTCAGTGTTCAATAATTATAGGTACTTCGAAGAAGTAAACAATATTGCCTAAACTGTTTATTTATTTAAACACATAAATATTGGTGCAAGGAGGCAACAAATATGTATGCTCCACACAAATCATTCTATTTGTGTAGGGGCTGGAATACTGCCCGGGTGCCCAACCCGGAACATGGTTTTCCTAGGGGGGCCACACCCGGAGCCCTCGACTTAAAGGTCTAATCCACAAGGCAGTGAAACAACGTTAGGAGATGCAGTCCCATAATAGCGAGTGACCAATAATAAGTTCATACGCCATTTTTTCACTCAGGATCATGGAGCCCATGCGCACCATTGGTTTAGAGTGAGGGTTTTTCAACTCCCCTAGGTGAATCCTCCATATTCACCAACCCGGTTAAAGCGTCGGTTATTCGCTTTTGGTCCTCTAAATTTCATAAACAACACCCGTTTCGAGTAGGCAATGAGTAAGACTTCCCTGTCAGTGGTTGTATGCATGTGGCGATGTGAGAGCATTTCGAGAGGGAGAGCTGACTCTCTCCACTCTCTGCCGTACCAGGGCCTAAACTGATCATATCTAAGATATTGGCTGTTCAGATTTGCTCAAATTTTTAAATGCGATAATGGAAAGCTCATATTCATTTGAAAGCTTAATAAAACCTAACAATATTTAATTATTATTCAGACGCTCAAAATTGATAGGCACAAGAAGAAGTAAGAATAGAGATGAATTTTAGCGATTCGTCAGGTAACAAAGAGGAAGTGATTAGTTTTCTTTCATAAGAAAATAATAAGGAAAACAATCAAGCAGAAATCAAATGTACATAACATTTTGACGTAATTTATGAATAATCCAATCTAATTTAAAAGTTCGGTGAGAATATAACAGCGGTGAATTTGAAATAGTTGTGACTGAATTTCCAACCAGTTTGGTTAAGCGCCCTCACGCGAGACTGATAGGTCTTGGGTTCGAATCCCGTGAGACAGGATCTTCGGTGCGCACTGCTGAGGAGTCCCACAGTAAGAGGAAACGGCCGTCTAGTGCTTCCAAGTTTTCCATGGTGGTCTAGCTTCAATCTACTCATGATCTCAACTATTGAAATTACTACAATCTCCACAAAACCCCTTCTGATCATAACAGCTTGTCTTTATGGATATGGATTATCCATCTTTTCAATGCCCTATAAGGATCCACTTAGATTTGTGAGTATCTCACATTCTTCTTGGGTAATGTTAATTATTTAGGGCAAAGATTAGTGTTTTAGGGTTGAGAGTTTAGTCATCACATCAGCTAATAATGTAGAGATTCTTTGCGGACAAATCTATGGATGAATTTTGTGCAAAGATCCAAAGTGCACTATCTGGTTCGCTCGTCCATGAAATGAGATGCCCAAGTTAAGGGTTTTTTCAGGATTAAGGGTTTAGGGTCAGGATCTAATGATAGTGTCGATTTGGCTGTTATATACAATATAAAGAGATAGAACTAAGTACTTAATACGTTTCACGCTTTATAAAAATGTATTTATACTGTTTATCATACGTAATATTTGAATTTCGCACAGGAACCTAAATGTCGCATTCTCGGTTCCGATTGACTCGTCCACAAAGTATATTTTTGCCAAAAGATCTCGTGAGATTTGATAGGACTATCTTTATATGTATTCATCGTCATATGACCATAAATTATCCTCCCACCCTAAAATCAACGCCTAAATCCTGATCCTAACGTTTTTGGGTTTATTGTGTACTAAATAATTCATTGACCACGTTGAGACTGTTTATCCAGTGTAATTTTCTTATCTTTATATTATAAAGTGTTTTATAACTAAACATTGTTTTCTGATTAACTGGAAACTCTCTCAAGTTTGTCAGTATAGCTTAGTTTTAACAGATAATCTATAGAAAACCTAAAACCTAGACTGAAGGTATTGGGTTTGAGTCCCTCGTATGGAGTCGTGTGCGCCCACCGCTGAGGAGTTTCATAATAGGACGAAGCGGCTGTCCATTGCTCACAGGTTCTCATTAGTCTAACTTAGATTTGTTTACGATTCCAGTGGAAACTAACGATCTCCACAACTTTTTACTGATATATAATAAATACTTCTGCAGTAAAGTATAGTCAGTTCAGGTTAGGCCAATAACAGCAATCTATCAAAAATCTATCAAACATAGAGAATGCCAAGTTCTGAATTGCTGTTTGAATGAAATGCGTTTCTAACCCGTAAGAGAATTGACAGTTTGTACCAGGAAAAAGAATACTGCTTACTTGTAAGTAATAATAGTTATAAAACAAGAATTTCACGAAAGTATTTTAATAATTATGGCATTATAAGATAATGATGGTATGAATGAAATCAATTGACAACACGATAAAATTCTACTTATTGAGGTCAACAGAATGGACCATGTTTAAATCCGTTAGTATTTGGTGCATACCGAAATAATCTTCAATAAGTTCGTTTTTTGATTCTCCAAACTTTGGAGTTTTACAAACACCGATAAAAAATGACATTACATAAAAAATACCATCATATGCTTGCCAAAAATGTTATGAATCAGTTTATTAGCAGACCATAATGAGTCTTTCAGTGTGTATACTGGTTGTGGTCCATGATGAAGTTTTAATTTTTTTATTACCACTTAGTAGGCGATCTTATTGTTAGGACATTGCTGATAATAATAATCCATAAATGAAACAGTACTTCATGATTTATATCACGGACTGATTTTATGTATAAAAACCTATGTTAGGAGGCAGTGGCCTGATTTCTTGTCTTACTATGGGACTGCTCAACAGTACGCATCCACGACCCGACCGGGGTCGAACCCAGGGTCTCCAGGTCTTCCGTAGGGCTCTTAACCTTCGAATCACTGAGTTAGAACTGTAGACTGTTGCATACCAACTCAGTAGTTCGAATAATATTCGCTCATAGCAAGACATGAAGGCCTTGACTTTTATCCCCTTTGCGGTCATGGATACTTATAGTTAGAGTCTTACCCTTTATCGAATCAGCTCTCCAGTACTTCCTCCTAGCTTTTAATCATTGTTTAACTAACATTAGTCCATTATTTATACTGAAATCCACCAATCTTTACGACCCATTATGAAAATGATGAAACTGCTCATTTATCTTCAGTACATCATATATATAGTGTTATGTGAGTGAAAATTTGATCTCTAGTTGTTTTTCTTTCCACAGATCTATCATTAGAGATCATCTGAATATCCTTGGAATTCATGATATCCTCTTTCCTATTGAAAGACTGAATATTAGTTCTACTACTGCTCATTTATCAGTATCACCAGTCAATCAAACACCTGGTATGACAATATTTGATCAAATCTGGTTGAACTGGGATTGGTTGAAATTATGTTCTACTTCAAAGACTTATATCTCATCCCCCTCTTTTTCTAGTTGGTCTGAATTTAGTGATTATGTTCTATCAGAATTTTCAAGATTATTGTCTCCTACAGTAGATGGTGGACAAGGAATTGTCTATGTGCTTTGGTTGTTACTATGGTGTGGACATGTAAGTTTTCAATTAAACCAGTTTTATTTTAAATTGTATAATTTTAATATTATTTTAAATTTTGTTTAGTTAAACACATAACTATTGGTACAAAAGCGCCACACAAGTCACTTGATTTGTGTGTGGGCTATGATACTACCCGGGTGCCCAAACCGAAGCATGTGGTTTTCTTAGGAAACCACTTCTTGACCCGTTGATCTAGAGGTATAATCCGCAAGACAGTGGAATACCCTTAGGAGATGCAATCTCATAGTAGCCAGTAACCAACAACAGGTTTATACAGCATTTGTTTATTCAGGATCCTAGGGCTAATGTGTACCATTGATTTGGAATCAGGGTTTTCTACCCCCTAGGTGGATCCTCCATATCCACCAATCCGGTTTAAACGACGTACATTCGCTTTTCGTTCTCTCAATTTCTTAAATAACACCCTTACCATGAGAGTGAATAGGACTTACCTAATAGTGGCTGTATACGCATGGCCATGTGAGAGAATTTCGAGGTGGTTAGCTGACTCTGCCCACCCTTGGTCGTACCAGGGAATTCGGGGGCAACTAAAATTAGGAACTAGTAAAAGATCAATATCTACTGAAACGTAAGAGCGTGCTGAATACCCAACCACTTTATTACAAGTTTTTTTAGAATGTATGGATAGATTACGATTAGTAGTGGAATCCCGGATACACATTTAATCCTATTTAATTACATCAAGGCAATGTTGAAAATCAATAACAGATGCTTACTAATAACAGTAGTATCAGCATCGCACCCGTTGAATAAGGTAGTGGCTATATTAACTGAGTGTTTTAGTGAATAATGATACGATAGCATTTGAAGCGAAAGGTAATGAGTTCAAGTCTCAATATCAACATCATCTAACCTTACTTGGACCCTGACTCATAATAGTCTAAACTTTAAACTCACTCCGCGAGACTTAAAGGTTCTGTGTTCAATCTTCTATGCGATCAAGGATGTACACTTTTGTGAAACTCTTTCCTACATATTGATACAAAATATTCATGCACTACTTCCCGATTTTCAATATTTACCCAACTTACATCAGTCTATGATGTAACCCATAGAAATAAATTTACCTTTTTAAAATAAACTGTAATACAACTGTGATTACATCATTTTTGTTTCATGTACAACGATCCGTTCAATTCTAGAGTTTTTTTATGTTTCTAGTTGTATGTGTATATATTGTGTGGTGTCAGAAAAAAGTTACGGAAGCTATAAAATATAACATTTCGTCATCATCTTTCGTTTTTTCAATGGTTTAGTTTTCTCTCAACGTTTCTACCATTAAATGAAGAGCTTATGTTTTTTCCCTTTATATTGTAATTAGTCGAATGAAGTGATCAAGTTGTGTATGCTTCTGTTACCTCCAACACGATCAGCTCGAATGGTTGAAAATGCTACCAAACAGTTTGTTGGTGATATTAATAATAATAATCAAGAGCACAGAAGTTGGCAACTACTGTTCAGTTCTCCAGATTTGATCAATACCAATGAGGACGGGGAATTGTGGCAGTCTCAAAATTTTGATAATGACACTTCAGATTATGATGATGATAATAATAATGACGGGAGTAGTGGTAGAATTTCTTGGTGGTGGGAGAAAGATTTCAGTTTTGTTCATTTATGCATTGGTTTAGCGAAATTATGGTCAGGGTATGTGATTCATGATATTGGTTTGTAAAGAAACATACACTTTGTTATTATGATTACTATTATTAGGTATTATATGTTACTCTAAACTACCTTACTTTGTCCTTCATAGTTTATATTCTGAACTGGTTTTAGTTAGACGACTATTTGATACCAGGGAGCCCTAAATAGCTGTTTCAGTTCTAGTATTGAACTTCTTAGTAGTACGTGTCCTCTACCCCATCGGAGATTGAACTGCAGAACCATCCTCAACTCACTGAGTCATCATCTAATGGCTTACACGCCAATTTGTGATGTTGTGCAACTGTCTTCCAATGCCAGCGGTGGCTAGCCGCCTCATACTTCAGTCTGCCTTTTGGTAAGATGATGGTGTATATAACATAGTAGTGAGTAGAATCTGCAATCCGTAATCAACCTTATACTAGAGTAAGTAGAGCTCAATAGCTGCATTTTATCTTGTGGAAATTATCTCTATTTATTACTATTATTATTTGAGCACAAGGTACAAGGAGGTACCAAATACATATGCACCACACAAATCTCATTTGATTTGTGCAAGGGCTGTGATACTGCCCGGGTGCCCAAACCGAAGCAGGGTCTCTCTATTTACTTCTTAGACGATAGTTTATTTTGTAACTACCCCATTGGTTGTAAACCAGTGTGTTGAAAGGCATTAATTCATAGTGGTTTATTGAGGATATACTTAATTTATAACTCCTGACTCGGCCGTTATTAGTTTGTCTGACTAATCCCCAAGACGAATGAGACTTTAAACTTAAATGAATAAGCAGCACATGAAACTAAACAATAAGAGGTTCGTGTTACTCTATAATGTTCAAGGTCTCATGCGAACTACAATTTAGATGTCATCAAATCTAGAAACGTAATCCGGAATGGATCAAAGAAACTGTTTTATATATATAATTTTAATTTGGTTATTTATTCTCTGAAGTGGCTTACACTAAGTCACGAAACGTCAGAAAATCTAATTTTTCTACTCATTGGGATATTACATATATATTATTTAGTTATAACAATCTACCCAATGCTCAATTTATTCGAAATTATCAAATCAAGCCTTGGTAATAATACCTGTTTTCTATATGTTGTAACTAGGAGCAGGGCCTTCAATTATCCCTTTTTAGCGAAAAAATTCCTGGTAAATTCCAGGTCATATACCCTCTCTGATTATGTCCCTGTCTTTTGCACACATCATCCGTCACACCTACTATTAAATTGATGGTTGGGTCAAATGGTTAGATTATCGTCACAGTGTCTCTGCCACTTGATTTTTCCTTAAAATATGTAAATAATCAATTTTGAAGTAAGATTACTTCATTTTGATTGAATTTATACTACTAATTTTTTTGTGGACAGTACTTACGATGATGGAGAATATTTGTAGTAAAAGAAGAAGCTGTTGGTGTTATGTTGTGGTCTCTGCTGAGTTTGATGGTCTAATTATCAAGCTTTAAATATACTTCTGAACAACATCATCAGTACATACTTTTAACAGAAGTGAGCTATTAGAATTTTTCTATAATTAACTAACAACTTGTTCTATTGACCTTGAATCTGATTGATTTGATTATCCCTACAACTATGTTGTGGTTGTTTGTCTGTTTTCTGTCACACTTATGGATAGCAATTTATTGGGTTTCCAAGTCAACAGAACTGATGTTGTTCAACAGAGCATTGGGAGCTTCACAATTAAATCATCTAGCTCAGAAGAGATCACAACACTTCCAACAAAAGTCTACTTAAATTGCTGTTATTCATTTATTCATTCATCTTTCAATCTATTTAATGTATTTATTTTCATGTACTTTTAGTGAATCGGGATCAGCTAAGAAACATTTTATTACTGCTAGTAATTGGTTGTATTGTTATACACAATTATTTATGAATTATTTAACAGAATCATCAGTTCATCATTCTAATTCAACAATCAATCAAAATGTTCCCAAACTGTTAATGCCAATATTATTTCCAAAAGAATTTTCACTATCGAAATTATTTAGTTTAAATGAATCAACAGTGAATGGTGATGGTAACAGTAGAAATACCAATGAACTATCAATGTATTCACTTTCTCCAGTTGAAGTACAAATTCGATTCTTAATGAAGGTAAGCAACTCTTTTTTCGACAAGTTTTGTAATTTAAAACAATAATGTAATTGTTATTGTATGATACTGTCTCTTTTTTACCTCTGCTGTACATTCATTTGAAATGACTTTCTTACAGTCTACTGGTTACAAGTTCAAATCTTTTCTGTCTTGAACAGTTGGTTAGTTTGTATCCGCTAGTGTTTGACACAAGTAGTAAAGCTCAATAAACTCAATCACATGACCATGTAGTTGACGAGTGAATTGTATTACTTTACATAGTACTGGGTAGTAAAACTAAACAATAACGGATATTTTGGTTCGATACGATTTATGGAAAGTAAGTTGTCTTTATTTTAAAAGTCTAAAATAAATAAATACTATTATTTTTGTTCTATGAAATAATTCATTCATCTTTGTCAACTTTCTTTCTCCCCTCCTGTTCGATTTCGCTTGTAGATAATGTCTGTTTTCGAAGTGTCTAACTATGTACCAGAGATTCTTGATCTTGCGGAATTCTGTTTAAATCGTTTAGCTGAGACACAAAATTCAATCAAATCAGAAAATTGTTTAAATCAAAACAGTGGAGGTAGATCAACTCATCGTTTAGCTTCTGTTTTGGCAAGTTTACGTGGAATCATGGAAAACGATAATTTAAGCGGATTTCTATGTGGTTCAGTAAAGAAATATCCAGATTTTATTGAGAATGAATGTAGTGTTAATGGTAAGCGTTGCATGCATCTTAATATCATGTACGAGTTATATATATTTTTATTGTTTGTGGTTGAAATGGTCTGCATTTAAAAAATTGCTTATCTAAAACTCGATTTTGAAGGGGACACAATGGGTGACACTTAAATACGTTATTATGTGACCACAAATAATCCAGCATTTGCACAATAAATCAAGAATAACTTAATGATGATAGGCTCCATGTGTGTATACCAGTTTAACTGCTACTGTGGAGTCAGTTAAATAGGCCGTACTATGAAGGCTTTATCCTTGTGTGCTCGTGAACGTTTATCGGTATGGTCAAGAAAAAGTACCACCTAATCTATTAACAGCGCCATCATTTCTCATTTGATGGATAGTGAATGTCATATTAAATCAGATGAGGCTTTCTCTGCCTGAAATAATCTCCCTGATAAAGCAAGATTATGACTTCCCTATGTAGTTGAAGCCTTCGGAATTAACCCTAGAAAACCTAACTTATATATCCAAGAGAGGTATGTTCGCAGACTATATGTTTACCTTGTTCAACAACTGTATCACGACAAACTTTAACTGAACATTATAAACCTATTACATTTCGATTCTATTTATATTTATATCTGTTTTGCCCCATTCCTAATGGACATACTTATTTTTCTCAGTTCATATGAATTCCTTCACATAATTATTTTGACAACACCTCTTTTATTACATATTGTACTTGGCACGTCCCCTACTTGATTACGGCAGAATACGATATGCAACGTACGGCTGTCGTATATGTAGAACCCCACAGTCACAAATCAGAAGACGGAAGAAGGACCTATTATTTGAAATAATGTAATTCATGATTTATTTCGACTGAACCACTTTTTTAAATGATATTTTAGTATAATGTGAGGTGTCCGAACTGCATAATCTTTGACGACAGCATTTATAAAGAGTACAACACTGTTATCATATAATATAATAGTAATCAGTCTTGTAAGCATAGGGTTGTATTTTATAAGCAGTGTACAAATAAATTAACTACTCTAATATTATAACATACTTATTTTCAAAAATTACTAGTGTTTGTAGAATAACAGATGTTCAATAGAACTCAATAATTAGAGAAACTATTATTTACTTAGTAGGATGACTTGGAACGTCATGTTTGTAAATGAGAATAACTCAGAGAAAAGACGATTCCAGTTTGATTGCATTGTTTCCAACTAGAAAGAAGGAAACAATAACAGAGAACACTGAACCTTGAGTTATGATGATAAAAGTATTAATCGTCAATAATAACATAAGTTGTTTAATCATCTTAAATATGTGGTGGATTTCATATTTATTAGGGTTTCTTTCGATGTGATGTCCCAAGTAATTGATCATTCTATGATTCATTGCCTGTTACTGACAAATTTTCCTCTGAATAGAATTGTTATCTATCAGTTTATTTTGATAATAGTTACAACATATTCATCTCAAATTGATTTAAAAAGTAATTATTGTTCAGTCTTTAGTGTTGAAAACTTAGCCTTCAGTATGTCGTCTACCATGTTGATAAATGCAGACTATGTGGCTGGGGTCCGCGCTATAAGTGCCGTTAACGGTTGCATGATATATCTCAGAATCAGTCACAATGTCCCCTTAATGCTCTGGTATGGCCCAGAGTTGAGAGTCAGCCCCCCTCTCGAAATGCTCTCACATAGTTACATGTATATAGCCACTGACAAGGAAGTCCAAATCACTGCCTTCTTAAGACAAGGGTTTTATTTACGGAATTGGGAGAACGAAAAGTCAAAGTCTGACCCTTTTAATCGGGTTAGTGGTTATGGAAGATCCACCTAAGGGGTTAGAAAACTCTGATTCCAAATCAATGGTACACATGAACTTCGGGATCCTGAGGAAACGAAAGGCGTATAAACTTATTATTGGTCACTCGCTATTATGGGACTGCATCTCCTAACGTTGCTCCACTGCCTTGTGGATTAGATCTTTAGGTGTGGCCCCCCTAAGAAAACCATCTGTTTCGGTTTGAGCACCCGGACAGTATCCCAGCCCCTACACAAATAGAATGATTTATGTGGAGCATTTCTATTTGTTGCCTCCTTGTACCAATATTTGTGTTTAAATAAATTAATAAATATGATATATTCGCACTGTAACTTCCTTTAATTCTTGAGTTCTAGTATTTCTTTTATAAATAATTCCTTATTCAGTCTTTTTATATCCGTATTCTCAATGTTTAATCTTTCTCATTGTCATTTCACTAAATTACTTCGATTCCTTTACCCTTTTATCTGGTCATACTAGTGAAATTACGAAGGCCACCACTAACTCTGATCGCTTTTCAGATCCCTCGAGAAGTATCTTTGGTGTGCAGGCAGTCAGGAATCAACACTCGCCCTCGTACCTATAACCACCCCAAACCGATTGATTTTATGTTAATTACTAATTAATTGATTAATATGCTTTATTTGTCGTTATTTCACAGATAATGATCCTCAATCTAGAATTAATACACGTTTAGCTGATCTAGAAGCTACTTTATGGACACGAATGTTTAAACATGAACTTGTGTTAGGAAATTATACCAAAGCATATATGATACTTCAAAGTAATCCGGATATTGCTAGGTGAGTGAACAAATGAATTTTTAATGTATATTAGGTATGAAGATAAGTTTTTTTGTAAAGATCGATATAAGTTTAAGAATAATTATTGAGACTATTGAGGAAGCAAACGAGACAACTGTCAGTAGTGTGTATCTGCGATATTACACAACATGCTTATAATCCATATTCCGTTTAATAAATGTACACAAATTTAAATCACCTACACTTTTTTAAATACCGAATATGTGTGTATGTAGTAGCTATAAATTTCACCCTAAATAGAAAAGTTTGAAGGGTGTGACGACGGACCACCGGTGAACTCGAGGGAGCTGTAAGAGGCTCATAAGGAGTCGAAGACGTTCCATCCAATCACCTTTCGGAAGAATGTTCTAGAATTCCAACGCGTAGCTTCCCCATTGGATAATGCTAATAACCCCCTGTACGCGGATTGGAAGACTGTAATGATGATTTCGTTCTCACTAAAAACTATAAATACCTGACAATTTTGTACTATGTTAGACACTGTTTGGAATAATATTCCTTTCGTTAGTCTTCTGTCTTCTTATTGCGACTTGGAAGGGTTTGGTGTTCTAGTGCTCAGTTATACGCGGTTGTATCAAGAAAAATCAGCTTTTTCAAGTTATAACAAAGGGTTGATCAGGTTATCACATTATCCCTTAGTACAAACGAAAGATTTGCATAGGACTAACAAACGTCAGTCCAACGTGACTCCTCGGTTAGGACATTCTAAAAATTCTGCAATTCCAATGACTTGAAATGTTATTACTCATATAAGTCCGAATAAAAGTTATTAGTGATTATACTGTGGTGTCATTGTACATTCATAAAAGTGAGGAAAATTTCTTGAACTCAAAGAATGTTATGACGTGAAAAATGCTGCGGATTAAGGGGTAGCAAATTATTGATCGAACCAAAGACGCGCAAACACGTAGAACGACCTAGGGTTCTGATTGGTCCCACTTCCCTGTCTAGCCCAGCCAGTTGAGTCCAGAACGCAAGTCACAGCCTCTGAGTTATGAATCACTATATTTCAAACATTATTTATATACCAGTCAAGCAGACCACAACGTACCAGAAAATAGAAAATAACATTGTACAATAATGACCAGTAGGAAAATGGCACGTGAAATAAGCACTGACCAATAAGAGAATAATACCATCTCCAAGTCCAAGAATAGCATTAGACTTAATAGAATAATTTTTGGGATATTTTCCTGAATATCCCAACAAAGAACTTATTCCTTTTTTTAAAATTTGAACTGAACTATATCTCTTATTATATGCTGTTGTTGTTTACTTTATTTTGACTGTACTTCTCTTCCGTCATTTTGATTTCTTCATACTGTTATTGTCTTTAATTGTACGACCCTTAGTTGTTTTGATACCCAGTTTTAACTGAATGTATATATTAAATAAAATAAAATGAGAGTTTCTCACTCAACCAGTAATAATAAATGTTTAGAATTAATTTTCTCAACAATTATACCAAAATCATATCTAAAGCTGTAGGTAAGCTCTTCAAAATACGTTGTATTTATTGGGGAGACCAGAAATATCCCTCGTCCAAGTTTTCGGAAGTTCAAAGAACACCAGGAAGTGCTTTATTCAATCAGTAATGAATAGAAGCGTCTCAGAAACATTTGGAAGGACTTAAGAATCACGTGTCGTGTTTTTAATTAGAAATTCATCTGTACCGTCGCTATATTACTTACAGAAGGTTTTAGAAGACCAACTGTGAATCCACTCTTTGTTTTGTACATAACTTAACTTTGAAGTAAGGTTCTCACATCTCGCGCCTTTTCTTTATTATTCAAACTGACATGTATAAGTAGTCTGGTGTTTTAGGGGAGCGACTAGGAATTCTGTAACAAGCTTTTTGATAGTAGACTTATTAACATTCTCTTTACAATAATGCTTATATATTCAGATATGATTCATATTATTTAAGCGCAAATGTGTGATATTATTCCTTTCAGTAACTAGTCTTTCCGACAGTACTTGCTCTAAGACATCAGACTGAGTATGAATTCTTGAATTTACCAAAACGATATTACGTTCTCATATTATGCATCTGGTCGTTAATTACATTTTTTATGTTTGACTAACATATGTGGACAGCATATTAATCCCTGATAGATTTTTTTTAAACTTTATTAAGGCGTCGAGATTGTTTACGTCAGTTGATTGTCACTGTTTGTGATCGTGGTGAAGCATCCAAGTTGATTTCTTTTCAATATGGACCTATGGAAAACGAAGTGAGTGAAAAAAGTCAATATTGACTTTGTGGGAGATAGTATTTTAACACTTTTTCCATATCTATTGTTTTTCATTTCAAAAGTTAAGTAGCTGTCAAGTTCTTTGGTAATTATCACTAAATTAACACAAAATCAAAGTGTATTGTTACATCACCTAACTTAATAAACACAACCATAATATATTTCTTCGTTAATAGAATTTATCTGGATTTTAAATTTGTGCACTTGGTGACTTACCACTGATCTGTTTACAAAATGCATGTTGCTTACTACTTATTCAAATTACTTTCCTTATGAATCTAAATGGAATATTAGGATTATATTCGAGCTTTGGATTAACATTCCAGTCATAAGCACATTTACATCAGTGTTCAAGTTGTGCCTACAAATCTCTCCTCTGAAGAAATATGATTCAGATAAATTTGAACCAAAACTCAAATTGAATTTGATCATATTTTTAAAAGAGGCGATTTCAGTCAGTGTTACTGTTAATTCTATAGAACAAATCAACTACATGATTGAGATAGTCGTGAAATGGAATTAAAAAAAAAACGATTTATACAAGAAACAGTTCTATTGTTGAGGGATAAACGTAAATTGGTTACAAACCTCAAATTGTGAGGTATTTGCAGCGATTAACACATCTGTATGTTTGGAAAGTGAAAGGTCACCTGTATTAATAATCTAAAGTGTAATTAAAACAAACGTTAGTGTTAATGACAGCTGATTGCTATATCTAATGTTAACAAGAGTTCATCGATAACCGAAATGGTAATTAAGAGCACACAAATAAGGAAGCTAATGCGTTTAAACAAAGATTCAAGGGACGTACAAAACTGGAATTAACTTTTACAACGGTTTATAGTAAGTAATTATAATTACAAAAATACACAAAAATGGTTATTAGTTTATGTAAATACTTTAGAATATCACGACGAATAAACATGCGTTACACCATACGTTCAGAAATTACTAGAAACAACTGTTTACTGAATGTTATCAAGTAGTATGAAGGAGTAAAGAAAAAAAGTTTAGTTGAGAAAATGATATAAACAAAATTAACAGTTGCGATTGTAGGAAAATTAACAAATGATAAAGTTTCCACGTTACAACTGTCCATATGATGTTTATACCTTATATTTTAAACACTAGTTAAGTTCTTTGTCGATCTTGTGTTTTGTTTATATGTAGTGAATATTTAATCATTTGATTAATAATCCAAATTTAACTTTATTTCTTATTGTTTTTAGTTTATTGCTATATTGGAAGCTAGAGCTCGTGCTGCTGATGTCGTCATAGTACCTGATCCGTCTACAAAGAAATCTGTTTCCTCATCACCAGCTGGCTCTAATCCATACTATGATGTGTTATACGCTTATCATATTCATCGAGCTGATTATCGCGCTGCTGCTTCTGTTATGTTTGAACACTCTTATCGATTAATTGAAGATACTATGTTGGCTGCTTCACGGTTGAGTAACTTTCGTTCTGGTGGCGCACGTATTCTGATTGGATTACAACGTCAAGCTGCTTGTCTTGCATCAGCTATTAATACACTTTATTTAGTGCCCAAAGATAATCAATGGCTTGTATGCATAGGTCCTGTAAATGAGGATGTAGTTGTCAGTGTCGACAATGAGGATGATGAAGATGATGATAATATGACTGAAACTGAATCAGACAATACGGTAATGTCATACACATAGTTCCCTTTGTTATTTTAAAAAGAGCAAAAACGAAAATTGATGCAGATTAATATGAATTCACTTTATTTCGTTAGGTTTTCATTAGCTACTTACAACCTGTAACATTTTAAAATCTAAGTTATTATAGATATTGACATACTTATAAATACGAGAGTGATTAAAGATGAATATGTGTATCATGATGAAGCGAAGATTCCAATAAAGTTAATAAGGTCATAAAAATTTTGTTTCGGATAAATAAATAAAATTCGAGAGGGAAAGTCCCAGAACATTGAGCTAGTGTTTAGAACACATAAGCTTAACAAACGTTAGATTATCGCCTAATGAAGCAATTGAAAACAGATTAATGGTAATAAATAAAAATATGAAATGAAATCAGTCAGTTATGAATTGAAGAAAAATAACATTGATGTAATCAAATTTCAGAAAGAGTTGAAATAATGAACGACGTAATAATTAAAAATGTGTTTTAATGTTACCAAGGCAAAGAAAGATTTGTTACTACATTTTTGGATACATAGATCTGGTTTTAGTCGTTTGATCGCTATCGTTTCGGCAAATTTCAAAAGATTGGAGTTTGTTAATTACTCACCTTGAATGACTTCAATGTGTCGAATTGATGTCCTGTGTCAAGGTGTCTTCAGATGGCACTGCTGAATGCGTTTAATCCATTAAGACAAGTAACATTAATAATTGTTAAAGATACATTATCCATCAGTCATATAATGATTAATAAAGGGCATTTTCCCTGAATGTTAAAAATTGCAGTGTATAAAATGATTCTATTTCATAAGAGTATATGAATTTTCCACGTCAAAAATTCATATTTAACTTATTCATCGTTATGCTTGCAAATAAAAAAACATCTGTCTTTTCTTTACAGTATCCTAATGACGACTGGGCGTTTGCCAATCCTGATGACCTTGCTTTGGACAATATTATTGATGATCAACATAATTTCGAGGGTAACTCTCTAGACCAAGAACAACCAATTTCAAGTGCAAAACGTAATGCAACAACAATTGACCCATCTTTACCACGACTTGGAAAAGATAAACGAATACTTACATTGGAAGATTTATTAAATGCTTACATACTGACACGTGCACGACTTCGTCTTGCTCAGGCTTGTTGGGAACAGGGAATGTTGAGGGCGGGTGTATTTACACCAGATGAAGTTGTTCGAGGATTATTGTCCGTTGCATTATATGATGTAAGTCTTTGTCAGGGCGAATCCAAGAAAGTAATGCAAAACCTTCCCCATTTTTGGCTGATTAATCTTGGTTGATAAATATATTGATTAATAACCAATATCATGCTTTCTAGTCCTTAATGCTGATCGAATTCTATCGGTCAAGCTTCACTATGACCACCAGTCTAATTGATTAGACGTTAAATGAACTATCTTTCTATGCCACATAATTAACAATAGCTGACAGGATACCCTACTTGTGAATTAGGTTACGTACTAGTTGACACTCGTCACCAATGGTGTGGACTTGTCATTTTGAGGGGAAACCCACCACAGATGATTACTGCCCAATCTATGGTTTCATAGGCTAACATTGTATTCTGGCCGTTCCAACAACTTTCTTTCTGTTAAGTGTTAACTGTCCCTGAATGCTACACGTTCCTTCGATTCACTTGATCGTTAACTAGTTGAACAATCAATTTACTCTTTAAGTATTAGGTTTTAGTCAGTCGTAAACCAGTTCTCATAATCTTCTACATAATTTTTAAATTTCTTTTTTTTTTCAGGAAGCTGTTCGTCTTTGTGAATCCTACGATCTTGATCCTGCACTCATCATTAATAGTATAAGTTTACGCTGTAGCGAGCTTGCTCAATGCGCAACTGGTAGTGTCAACTTGGTGAACTTTTCACAGCCTACAGTTAATTATGAACTTCGCCGAAAAGAGGTTTACGATATTCATCGTACCACTTCTGTCATCACAACTGGTTTAAATCAATTCCCAGTACTACCAGGATTGGCGAATGATTCATCTCCTTTAGAGCATGAGGCCGATCTAGTTCAACAGTCTTTATCTAATTTATCCACGTTAAATTTTGATAAAGTTGGAAATGACGGTGATAATATCGGCGCTATTGAAAAATCCAGTAGCTTAAAAATAGTACCATACCATTCTAATCATAATTATTCTAGGTAAGATTTGATTGTTATTTTGTTGGCCAGATAAAATGATTTTTTTATTTCAAAGGGTTTGTTGTTTATGTTCAAAGAGAACTGGTATACTGTTGTGTTTTTTGGAAAGTATTCTAATCTTTAGTCAGTATTCGTCAATGATATGATGATCAGATATGGTTAGCCGCTAATCAATTACCCGATCCTCTTGAATACTTATGATGATGATGATGATGATGATGATGATGATGATGATGATGATGATGATGATGATGATGATGAATATATACAATGTTTTTAAGCTCTGACATTGTTACTGAGACCACGAACTGATACTAGACTAATGCTGGATATATGAAAATACTGGACGGCCGTCTTATCCTACTATAAGATTCCTCCTTGACCCTTCTACAAAGGATCGAATTCAGTCTTGCGCTCGAACGTCTAATCTCTACAACAGCCGAAATCCAGTGGTGTACAAGTCTAACTTCTATCAATCCATGATATTACAGGACTTGTACACCGTTGTGTGCGGGATCAATGGTCTAGAGGTGGAGTTTGCTCGCGAAGCTGAATTTGACCCCCTGTGGTTAGGTCGTGGATTTTCGATACTGAGAAATCATAAACTAAAACGAAACAGACGTTCAGTGCTTTCACGTTTCTAAGCATACTCTAGTTAAAATTAGTTCGTGATCTGAACAAAATCGAACAATCTCTACGAACCTTATACCCATAATTATGCTTTTTTTAATCATTCATTACTTTTTTACCAAACATCCTCTGGAATTCCTGGTTGTTTTTTCTCTACTTAGTCGATGCAACTTACCAGAAATGTATTGGCGTCTCCTAGAAACAGTTCTCACACGTCTAGATCCTCCAAGTACAACTAATGAAAAACAATCAACATTTCAAACAAAATATCATGGTTTTCTACACTTAATTGCTTGCGAAAATATACTCGCCTCAGGTCCTAATCAATTATATCTACCTGAGTGGTTAACTTCACGCTTATTGTCTACTTCATACGCAACAGAACGAGCTGTTAACTTATTACGTCTGTACATAAAATTCAATCGTTTAGAAACAGCTTATCGATTAGCAATGGATATGCTCGAAGCAGCTATGAATAAAGGCGCAGATCCATCATCCTTCGGTTTACGAGTAAGTATATTTAATCTTCTCTATTTGTTTTTTGTGGTATTTAAATAAGACAATCGTGTGTACTTCCAAAATCTATAATTTTAATTATAGGGAATTATAAATCTGTTGTGTCATTAATACTCATTTATAGGTGTCTTCGAAGCATTGTTTTGGTATGTTAAAGCCATCAAGTAACCATTTCTATGATTAGAAACATAGTACTAAATGGATATAATAAATTGATCGATTAGGTTATAATATTTATCGACTGAGGTGATTGGGCTATGTGTAGTGTAGTCCTAGTAACCGCTTATTTCGATGCACATTATTGGGCGGTGTAAAGAGATTGGTGGAAAAGTAAAAAAAGCTGAAATGAATCATGTTATCAGTTTATATAGTTATTGACTGTTGTCCTGAGCGATTTACATAGGTGTAAATTGTCTAGTTGAGGTTCATCTATTTATCAAAACCGTCGGTTTGAGACGTTAGGCAATACTGTTCAAACTCGATCACAATAGTGAAAATACATTTGTTGTCTATCTTATTTTAAATTTTGAGCTTTAGATATTTTATTCTGTGAATTAATCGGTCCTTTCTGAATCATATTCTCTATAGTTAATCTTGTATACCACCACTAATATTACTATTATCACTACTATTACTTCTGTACTAACCATACTATCCTGATATATTGTAGCAGCTTAAATCCAATACAAATAATTGTCAGGTTTTATCTTGCTTTTAACTGGCTGATTAAAGGGATGAATGAAAAAACTCACTAAAACAGAATTCATCCTCAGAACAACACAGAATCAAATTCATAACCTTTAAACTTCATCATAAATGGATGTTATCATTAGGTCAGATAAGTTAGTGTTTTTTTCTTTCTTTCTTTCTCTCTCTCTCTCAGTTTTCATCGCCTATTTCTAATCACGCCATTCGTCGTTGTTTTGTCTGAACAATTGTTATTTTTTTAATTTACTCTTTTTCCATCCTTCTCTATCACTACTGTTTTAGTCCACTTTATCCAATTCAATGGATCCAACAAATCCTATACGAAAAGCCAATAAAACTATGACGATATCAGGCACAATGTATCTTCCACATACATTATTTATTTATATATTGAATGCATTGAAAGTATTATCGCCTGAATCAAAAACCTGTGAAGCTGTAAGCTCTTCCTAATCACATTAATCTATTTTCTTAATTTCACTAAATTGATAATTTTCATGTTCAAATTTATACCTAACGTTATCGATGTGGATTGTTGTATGGATAGATAATAAAATATGTCCCTTTAATAATGGTAATAACTTGGATACTTGTAATAGATAGATCGGTTATTTACTCAATAGTTTAGGCATTCGACTTTCAGACGCTAAGTCCCAGGTTCTAACCTCGCTCCGTCTATTTCGATCAAGCGGGTGATATAACTCACCTGCAAACTTAGAGTATGTGGTTCGTAACCAACTGCATAAATCTTTACTTGCTAGATAAGCTGATCAGTAAAATCTTATATTTGAGATTTTAGTCTATCATAATTTAATCTGATGCTTTAATATTTCCAACTTAATGAACCTGTCTTATTATGTAAAATTGCGTTTGTAGCTCAGTCGTTGTTTGTGTATGTTAAAGGACGGATTATAAGTATTACAGTGAGGGTTTTAGAGAGGTCTTTTAGGTTTTGATGATAATTTACATAATTGACTAATTGTAGTCAAACAATAATCGTTAGAAAATCCCTAGGAACATTAGATAGCTTTTTTTGTCCTAGTTATGGGATTTCCTAGGTGTGTACACACGTGTCCCTCCTAGGACTGAAGTACGAAACCTCCCAGAATTGTAGTAAGGATACTCCTTATCTGGAAGTGTTTGAATTCTCCCGTTATTTATGTTAAAGACTGATCAATCTCTTTATGTAAATATGATGATGATAACCTTTTAAATACATTGTGCGGCTCAAATAATACAAATATCGAGAAAATATTCACTGATGTCATAAATCTCCTCACCACGTAAATTATTTTCACCTAGCGCAGTTACTACTCAATGTTTCAAGTAGTAAAGTTGATGCATTAAAATTATCATTAACTTTGTCTTCTTTTTTAATACACAGATGCACGACAATTTAGAATCGGCACTAAGAAATTATTTTGTTAAACTTCAATCAGTTTGCCGCGGTTTAATCACACATTGAGGTTCGAATGTGGATCTCATATTAAAAGGACATTGTTAATTCATGAGAATTACGTCTGAGTGGACTAATCCTTCCATGCACACACGCAAACCTTACCAGTGCTTGTTTTGTAACCGAAATATTAATTGTATTATATTTTATTTGTACAATATGCATATTTACACATATTTTGTGTAATGACTTTGTGTTGTTTTGTGTCTCTATCAAATCATTTGACTAACTGTACTCAGTTATTGGTCAATCAATAGTAAGCAACGTGGACCCTGACATATACATGCTTACGTAATGTTACCACGCCATATCAACACAATGAGGTGAAATTATCAGAACAAATACCTGATTGGTAGAATTAGTAAAAGTATTAGCGTATATAATATGATTTGAGAGGAATGAAGGATCAGTTACAAGGTAATGGGAGACCAATGAATCTTTAGCTCATAAGTTCTCATCAACGTAATGTTATGAATAAAATTGTTTTACAACGTGTTCGTATACGTGCACTCGTCTTTGAACTACACTATTCGTTTTGCCAAAATCTATATACATTTGCTGGATTTTGAACTCACCGCCTATTGGTTATAACGTAGGCGAGCTAACCACTACCCGTCACTTTAAAATAACACGATATTGACTCTTTGGCTTTGTAAAGTCATGTGGTAAAGATTCAACATTACTGAGGGCTAGTATTCTATGTTGATAGTTGTCCCTATCTTTAAAAAGGGTTCACGTCGTTCCTGTAACAACTATCGAGGGATAAGTCTACTTCTAATTGCGTCCAAACTTATCGGCTTCCGTCATAATTCGTAGGTTGTTCATAACCCGAGAAAGATTGACTCGCGAGGAGCAGGCTGGTTTTCGTTCTGGTCGAGGATGTATTGATCATATCTTCACTCTCCGCCAAATGTTAGAACACTGTCATACTTATCACAGACCAACAATCGTAGCGTTCCTTAACATCAGGGTTGCCTTCGATTCGTTGGACAAAACTGTTCTCTGGGACTGTCTATTGAAGAAGGGTGTGCCTGAGAAGTTTATTAACATCCTAAAGACCCTACATACAAACACTTCAGGCAGAATGAGGGTATACAACCACCTTTATCCATTGTTTCATTCAAGCAGTGGGGTTAGGCAGTGTTGCCCAATCTCACCATTCCTCTTCAACTTTGCCATCGATGACATTCTGGAAACAGCTCTGATGGATGTAAGTAATGGCGGTGTGGATCTGTTGCCTGGAGAAATACTTCTCGACCTTGAGTATGAGGATGATATTGTCTTACTGTGCGATGATGCCCAAGGCATGCAATCTGCACTTAATCAGCTGGCAATCAATGTTCGTAGGTATGCTATGTGCTTTGCACCTTCGAAGTGCAAAGTACTTCTACAAGACTGGCAGGATTCCAATCCTGTACTCACTCTGGATGGTAAGCAGATAGAAGTAGTCGAGAAGTTTGTGTATCTGGGTAGCTGCATAAGTGCTGGTGGGGGTGTGAGTGATGAGATCAATACATGAATAGTGAAAGCCAGAGCGTCTTATGCCAATCTGGGCCATTTTTGGCACCTTCGTGATGTTAGTCTGGCTGTAAAAGGCCGGCATCGTGTGTTCGGGCACAGAGACGATAAGTCAATTAGTGTCACTATCTTGAAACGTCTACTTCGGTGGCTTGGATATTTTCTGCGAATGTCGTCCCAGAGAATTCCTCACCGCGCATTATTTGCCGACGCCTGGACTGGTTGGAAAAAGCGGAGAGGTGATCAGTTTATGACATGGTGTCGGGGTATGAAAGAAAGCTGCAAAGGGCTGGCTTGTGTTGGTCCTTCACGACTCCCTGACTGGGGTCCGAGAGATGGTGCAACACAGTGACTAGAGAAGTTATCAGATATGGCTCAGAATAGAAGCCAGTGGCGATCCTGCTGTAACCTTCCTTTACTTTTTTCATAAAAAGTGGTTGTATCTTCCTTACCTGAAAGAATTCTCTCTAGTTGTACCTGTCCGTTTCCCCCATTAATCTTATTATTACACTACCTTACACTAATCTGGTCGTTATTGTTCCTCTTTTTTTCTTTTACGTTCCTTACCTTTTTTCCGTCATTCTCAGTGTCTTGTGTGGAGCATATGTATTTGTTGCCCCTTGTACCAATATTTGTGTGTTCAAATAAATAATCATAAATAAATATGGAAATATCAGGGGCATTAATCTTGTTATAAATAGTTGAGTAAAATCATCAGTAACGACTGATAGGATGATAAAGTGAAAAAGAATGGTTCTTGCCTTGAGGTCTCATATCCTCAAACGGTGATCTTTGCGAATACTTATCCAATCACTCTGGATCTCAAATTAAGTTTTGTGTCACTTCACACTTTGGCATTCTATTGATGAGCAATTAATTATCAGATAGTATTTAGTTTCTAGTCATTCTACGTTATACTCGTTTTTTATACGCTTTCAGCAGGTTCGACGTAACAAAATGAATTTGAGGCTATACTTTTGAAGTAGGGAGACGGGTTAAATTAAACCAGGCTACAAACTGTGGAATATGTAATAGAGATTGCACAAAGGGAAGTAAGAAATTCAACTTGAAGTAGGAATGCGTCACAACTGTTAAAATCTACGTGTTTAAATGTCCAATTCAAGTAGATACGAGCTTTCTGCATGTTTCAATGAATGCAAACTACTGAATAGTGGCCAGTAGTACCGTGTATTACATGTAAAATATATAAACTAGCAGATAATGACAATTACTGTACTTAGTTTTATGAATTGTAATAACTGAAGGTCTCAGATGGATTTTACTAACTAGTAAGAATAAATGCTGCTTAGGTTTAGAGTTTAAGCCACTTTTTTCCCTGAAGACCATCCTGACTCCGACTATTAATGACCTTAGTTCCGCATTTTTTTTCAGCTAAGTCTTGATCTATCATTAAGTAGGCAACTGTGATTGGATAAATATATATCGGGAGAGGGTCACGTATTATTGACTGAGCACATTCATAATCTGTAAGACAGATAAAAACAGAGATCCAACCATTCATGCACCAGCAGAAATGTGTATATATAATTATGTCTTGGTTACGGTATAGCATTTTGCGGGAATACAATGACATTTATTTGTCACGTCCTTGTCGATCCATAGAGAGATAATTTATGTGTATATATATAAAAGGGGATTTGCCAGAAGAAATTGGACCAACCTGAATTCTTTCGAATCTCATTGCAGTTACTCTCATAGCGAGGATTTCAGTTTCTGTTAGACCATTACTCAATAATTTACAGTCCAACGTACTCTAAATCCCATTTCATAAGTTATAAATATATTTCTGCTTTTTTTATCAAGTCACTGTTAAACGGCTCGGTTACTAGTGTACGAACATTTCAGTCTCAAGTAAAATCAATGCTTCAGTTTAATGATGACGTGTTCATTAGATCTCGCTTACTGCTCATCGTTGTATTGAAAGAACACATGCTTAAACAATCAAATCCGGAATTGTACTCAAAAATTATCTACATATTTAAGTGGGTATTTGATACATTTCCTGATGCAACAAGGAACAGCTCTATGATTGAGGAAGAGGTCAACAAATTATTTAATAAAACTGACTCTGGGCAGTGTTCAAATGTTCTTTTAATCAGATTCCTTTCATTCTAATTATCCAGTCACGTCGAGTGAAATTTAAAAACATTGTGAAACAAATGTTTCAAATGAATCGATTTATGATCAAATTTCTAATGTCATATCAGATGCTGGTTGTCTTAATGATCCGTTAGTTTCTAATGTATTTTTTAATGAATTTGAGAGAAATATTTAAAATGAATCAAATTATTGAAATATCGTAACAAATGTTGCTTGTTTTCACAGTGCATTTGTTTCTAGTGAAAACCTCAGTTAATATGAAGCACAAATCCTCAACTAGTTCAAAACTAATTATAATTCTTATGGTGCCGTATCAAATATTATTTATCTTCACAATCCATCCACCCCTAGTCAGTGTGAGAAATATGTTTTAGATGAGTTACATTCTGACCATATTTCAGATCTCATTGTAGCAGATGTTGCGTGTTCTCACACCTCATATGTGTCACATAGAATCCCTGTTCAATCCTATGATCAATCATTTGATATAAAAAATGTTTGCGAAGCAGCTCCAAATCCAGAATACCCAGGAGTGATGTCGTTCACGTAGTAGGAAAATTTAAATTTAGCCCCCAAGTCAGACAGTTTAATATTTGAGATAAGGCTCTATGCCTGTAATGGCAAAATGCAAGACGAAAGCGGCTGAACCAGACACTGGCTCGAAGGTTTATGTCTACTTTAGGAAGCTGAGGTTAAATGGAGATAAAAAGTTTGTGAAGTTCATCTCGCCAAAAGCGTTAAATTTAGTCAATTTGCACAGTGCACTCAGTGTTTTTGGAAAGTTGTGTGATGAGCAGTCACCAAATTTCAGTATTCATCATAATTATGTACAAATACACAACCAATCTGATGATATTTACCTTGTCTATTTGGACAAAGGGAATGTCACATACAGAAAGGTATATATTTTCTCAACTCAAAGTCAGTCCAATTTCAATATACCCGTATGTAGAATCCAGCCACTTACTGATCCTAATGGTTACGACGCACATACTAATGTCCCGTTCAAATGCTTTGGAAATGAAGCAAGCCAACATGAATCATATAGATTGTTAATGGCAAGTCGAAGTCTAAACTGTGCTTATTCGTATTGTAAATGGGATAATGGCATTGTATTTTTTCATATGAAGAGTGGAAACACTATCAAATGTAATATCACCCATACAGGTGAAGATCATATCAAATGATCCTTCAACTTTTATGCATACCCACACACCTCAATGTGCACATGTAATGAAGGTGCGAGTGGTGTTGATGCAGTTTAGGTCAATAAAGTCACATTATTTGTGACTTAGGTACATGAAGATTCAACATTGTTTCGTGGAGGAGGGAACGAAGGAGCAGAGCACGGAAGTCAGAAGGTTAAAGCAACTTTTTTGAGATGAAGATGAAAAACCAGCTGGAAGCTGGAATGTGACCACGTGGTCAGCCAAGATCCCTGCAAGTAAGAAAACGAACAATAACCTTTCAAACAGACGTCTCACGGAAAACTTGTTCCTACGAATTCCATTAAAAAGGAAAGGGAGGTGATATGATGTGATTAAAAAGC